ATTAAAAACATTACTAAAAAGAAGAAGGAAAGACCAAGAGGATGAAAAATCTGAGGCTGGTGGCAGAAGGCCTCTATGGGGCTAGCCATCCTAGTTCTGAGCAAGTCAGCAGGATAGCAGAGTAGGGACCAAGCCCTCCGTCGTCTTCTGTGCCTGGTGGGGGCATCCAGCGAAGCTCCAGGGAAAGAAAGCCTTGTTGGCACCCAGCATAGAAGTAGAATGAGTGGCAGCAAGCAGGACTGAGACCTAATTGTGCCTCTTCTGGTAAACCATAGATTGGTAAACATTTTTGTGGCAAACAAGTTGTTTGGGCTTATAAAGTCTGAATAAGTGAGGGAACCTTGTCAGTATTGTTTCCTGGTCATTTTTCCTTAAGGAGCAGTTCTGGAAGTGAGAGTTGCTTCTGTTCTATACTTGCAGAAGTTCCTGCTATGATTCGATTGATCCATGTGCTCACTAAATCTTTCTCCTGGCAGATAATGGAGAGCAGGAAGCCTATTAACCCTCATTGACATCTTAGAAAAGGAAATCTGGAAAGGTAGTTGTTCAGGTTTATAAAAAGCACTTACAGAGCCCCATTAAAGCAAGGAGACAAATCTTCTAAACCAGTACTAATCATAGATAACTGGTTTTTTTTATTACTAGTCATAGATATGTATGGGTTTGTATCTGCCTGACAATCTTGATGTGCAAAAATGATTGCAACTATGTAAGTCCTAAGCCCAGCTAGCTACCTAGTTGACTTTGACATGGTCAGGCATGGATGGTATGGTATGAGGTGAAAGCATCTAGAAGAAGGCAATAACAACCCAATTCTGTACTATTGCCAAGAAAACAACATGAAGTTATCTGTAAAACACCAGAAATTCAGCTTGACTCAAAGACAACTTGACTTTATCCAACTCTTAAAGGTGATGCTGGGGAAGAGGCTTGTAAACCTTTGACTTTCCAAAGGTCTTCATGAGATCATCAGATGAGATGGAGGTTAAATCGAAAAGGGTGATTTCTTTTTTCAATTTTTCAAAACCCCATTTTCTCAGTGTTTTAAGAATAGGAATATAAGTAGAAGATGTGGAAACCATTTCCTTTCCTACCATTTTAAAATCTTTTCCAACCATCAAAACGGGGTCAACATTGCCTTGAAAGCCCTGAAGGATATTCCAAAATTGGGTCAAAAACGGCTGGAGACAGGAAGTTAAAAGAATGGTCTTCTACTCTATTCCTACCCTTAAATGTTGGCAGCATGACCTTGGAGTATAGGTTCAGTAACCATATGTCCTTCGTTATAGTCCTTTATTTCAGAAAGCTCTCCTTTATTAGATTATGTGTTTTTGTAAAGTTTTTCTTGGTTTTGCAGTTGAATTTTCCTTTGTAAGGCAAAGTTATAAACATAAACAATTAAAAAAATTTATCCTTATGAGCCTCTTTCAGATTTGCCCCCTTTTCAGGTTTGTCCTTTATTTTTTTCCAAGAAAATATGGTCACCATAAGTACAGTATAGGGGGAGCACATTTGATCAGTTTTCCCCTGATTACCCATCTTTCTGTTAAACATACTGAAGCTCTGTCCTCCTCTGCTTTGTTTTACCTACAGATAGTTCCCTGGTTAAGAACACCTGGTTTATGGACAACCCATAGTTAAGAACGGAGCCTATTGTAGCAAAATTCGAGTTAAATACACAATGGTTTGAGTTAAATGCACAGTGGTTGAAGTTCATTACACAAATACTACATATACAGTATTCTACAATAATACTGTTCCTGCTTGCATTCAAATTCGACTTAAAGACAAACCTTGGGAAAGGAACTCATTCTTAAACTGGGGACTACCTGTATTGCAATAGGAATGAGCCTAGCCTTTTTCAAGCCAATGGAAAACACTTGTTCTATCATCCCTTGGCTTTTCAAAATGAGATGAAAGTTGTCCCTGGTTTTGAAAGGCTGTCTTGAGCACATTGTATATGCATGTCAAAGGTGAAAAGTTAATTCACTGAAATTTTTGACACCTTTTGGCATAGACAAAGCTTTAAAAAGTGCCCATGCTATGCAAATACTAAATGCAACTTGTAAATATGTAGTAGAACAGCAAATCTTTGGCAGTGATCAGCATTAGGAGGCACTCCTGCCAGCATTAACTGCCTTCTAGGGAATGTTTCTCTCTCACTAATGTTATATAACAGAATTTGACTTCTTTTTAAATATCAAGGTGATTGTGCTCTTCTGTATGTCAGAATCAACAACGTAGCAATTGCTGTTGGAAAAGAAGCAAAGCTTCATCTCTTTCAAGCTCAGGAATGGCTAAAGCTTCAAGAAAGCCAGCAGGATTACAGCTGTAAAGAGAAGCTGGCTAAAGCTCAACTGATAAGTGAGTCTGTGCACAGGTGTTATTAATATATTGAGCCATTGTAGAGCCTGCTGAAATTCATCATCTGACCATATATTAATCCTTTGTAAAGCACTTTAAGGTGAATTAAAGTCCTTTGAAATTTGCACCCAAAGACATGGAACCTTGTCTTCTAGCTATGCTAGCTATGAAATCTTTCTACAATCGCACCTATTGTGCTTCCTCACACATTAGCTTCTGTATACATATATTTCACCTTCAACTTTTAGTCCTAGTCTGTTTCCTTTGATGGAATATATATGTAGAAGTATACTAGAGTCAATATGCCAAACGTGGGTCCCCTTTTCTGTCCAGATAATTTCTGGATTACTACATCCTGCTTATCCCCCAGCATGGCCATTTCTTGTTTTAGAAACTCCCATAAAGTTAATCAGAGTCGGGTTTCCAGTTGTTGACAAAATACAGTGCCTAGGATAAGTTCATAGAAGGAAAAGGTTCTACCCCTGCTGCCACTTGCAATCCAAGCAAATGTTAATATTTACTGTTCTCTTTTGGATTAATTACATCAATTGTGATAACTTTTGAAATAATGCTGACTAATATATAGATTAGTCAGGTGCTATCAAGTGAGGCCCAACACTTGGTGACTCAGCATCTCAGCCTGTTTCTTCTGAGAGTCCAAAACTCTTCCCAGGAGACTTTTAGCCACAAATATTAGATGTAGAAAGCAGAGGGAGGCAATTTTTGATGGGTCAGAGGCTACCTTGGCCTTCCAGATGCAGAAGGCGGATGCAGAAGTCTACCCTCTGTTGCTGTGAAACCAGAATGGTCAGGGTTAAGATATTTTGCCCCTTTTTGCCATTTTGTTTAGGATAGGAGGGTTTGAGAGGTAAGCTGCTCCCACCCCCACCAAAGAATTGCTCTTGTTCACACAGTTGGAAATCTTCCATTTTGCCACATTTTTTAAAATGATATTTGCTTCTGTTTCCAAGTTTTTCCTGACGGGTCTGAAGAGAAAATTGTTATCCCTGTAGCTGACTTAAAAGCAATGTTTTAAACCACTTGATGCAATTGGCTATTTTTGCATATCTTAAGTGTTAATATTTGAGTCTATATTTATAGTAGCATAAAATAAAAAAGCAATATTGTCTAGTTTTTAGAAAAGCATGAAAAGGATCCCTTGTCTTGCCTTATTCAGTTAAAGCTTACTGAAAATAGAACTAGTATCAATATCATTTTTTGTGGACCAGAGATAATTTATATATAGTAACTAAGATCCTCTTATAGTTTATTTCAAAGTGGTCATAAACAGGATCATTCTTAATTGGTGTACTAATCAAAATAAAATGTTAATAGTAGTATACCATTAATATCCATAATTATGTCCTCAAATTAGGCAGATTTTAAAAGGTACCTTATGCTGGCTAATCTATGTGTAGTTCCTCCCCAGATTTCTTTTGAAACATATAAACTGGATATTGGTCTGTTCATAGTTGATCACATGGAGATTTAATCATATTTTGGAACTTAACAAGCCGCTTTATCCTCAGAGCACTGGTCTACATTGCTCAGTATTGTTTGCACATATTAATTACACTCCTCCTGGGTTTCAGACTGGTGTTTTTTCTAACCTTACATAAAGAAGGCAGGGATTCATGGTGGATCTTCCTTCAGGCAAAGCCTTTACTCTGCCCCTTAATTATTGAAGTAGTTTTGGTGCTAATTAAATAATATTTTACTGTAATTGGACCATTCATTATGGTTTTCATAATTAAGTGCAGATGTTTTCCCCTTTGGCTGAAAGGCAGTTAAAAATGCTTAACTTGGGATGATTTTTGCCATATGGTATTTAAGGAGTAGGTGTATTTTTAAAAGTAGCATATTTCCATTAAAAACATACTCTGGAAAAAATATATTTCATTGATATATATCCTAGCATCTTGGTACATATACTTTCAGCAATATGAATGTGCCCCTTAGCCATATCCAAATATGAAAAGTTACGTGGCTGCTAGAAATTTCTTATCACTAAAAGCTTCCTGAAGATACTGATTTTAACATATTTTTTTTAAGTGAACATGAATTGCACAGAACAAAATATGACGGTATCCCAGGTTCCTTATCCAGACACATGGTATGTGTTTTATGTTGACAAGTTTACCTGTGCGGAGACGTATGAAAACTCTGAATCTGAGGATGTTCAATTTGAAATGGTGCTACTAAATCCAGATGCAGAAAGGAATCCGTTAGATCACTTTAGTGCAGGGGAATCAGGTAAGACATTTTCTTGACATGGAGTGGGGTTTGTGAGAAATAGAATGAAGTTGAAGAAGTGACCAATTTAATGACATAAAAGTCATCTTTAGGAAGTACATTTTTGGAGAAGAAGCATTTCTCCAAATCTTTGAAAGATTATTCATTTAATACTAACTTTAAACTGGTTAATTCCTTTAACTAGCCTTTAGAGATCAGAAAGTTAGGTTCTTCCCTCCTCCATTTTTCTTTTACAGATATAGACAGTTATCCAAAAAATCTGTTTGACATTTTTTACTTTGGAAAGATATGTAATTTTTGTGCTTAAGTTTGCTTAAATATAGGTATGGTACGGTACCATTGTTCTAATGCTTTAAAAAAAAAAAGCAAGAAAGCTCCTTAGGCTGTGTTGAATAAATTGAGAATTAATAGTGCAAACTGGGATGGTCAAATGTTTTAGCCCTGGGGATTACCCAGGTTGATGAGATGTGTAACATATCTGCATGCTAGGCTTGTGGAGCCCTTTGGATTCAGTTCCAAAAAGATGGTTCAGTACATACTTGATTGCAAAAAAAAAGCACTTGTCTGCAACTTTTGAAAGCCTTTGTTGTCTTTCCCTGGTATCCTGTGACTGCTCTCCTGTAGCTCTTTAATGAATAAAAGAAAGAATGTGGATTATAGAACCTATAATTCCTTAATCCAGGTTTACATGACAAAGCATTGTCTAATATACAGTTAAGTTGTATTTTACATTCAAGCACTTTATGGAGTACCTATCACTTTTAAGTATTGCAGCAGTGACATCTAGTGGTAAGACAAAACACCCCACTCTTACTTGCTGCTTTTCCAAATGCTGCCATAGTTGCCATATTTATCTGAAAGGAAGACAGTCCTGAAGGTAATGGTCCTTCAAAAGAAGGATGATTAGAGAGAAAAAAATGATATAACCAAACAGTTATTGGCACTGTTTCTGAAATCAAAAGCAAAACTGAGTTTCCTTGTTTCATATAATTTCCCATCTTTGTTGCAGTGTTTCTCAACCTCAGCAATTTAAGCTGGGTGGACTTCAACTCTCAGAATTCCCCAAGCAGCATGCTTGCTAGGGAATTCTGGGAGTTGAAGTCCACCCAGATTAAAGCTGCTGTGGTTGAGAAACAGTGCTCTGTTGGAAGCAGCAGCTGTCATATGGAAGCCGTAACCCATATCTGCATCTGTATTAGCAATCTGTATGCTATGGAGGTGAGTCCTTTAAAGACCTAATGAACTTCTCCAGGTCCGATCGTGAAGTGGAATCTTCTGTAGTGGAATTTTGTTTCTGGAATGCTCCCTGCATCTTTTAGCACAAGATGAAACTGTTTATTTCCCCAGACTTTTCAGATTTCTTAAACTTCGGATCAGCTGCTGTTCTCCATTGTTACTAACTCAAATGTGTTACTGCTGTTTTAATTGGAAGGTGCTCTGGGAATTGTCAGGTTTTTCATTGAAGAGATGAGGCATTCAGTGTCTAAAGAAGTGAATGAACATTGTTGTTTCTGTTCACAGGCTTACACGAGTTCTTCTTCCTGCTTGTCCTGGGCTATTTTGTGGCTGCCTGCATTTACGCTCAGTCCTTGTGGCAAACAATTAAGAAGGGGGGACCTATGCACACCGTGTTGAAAGTGCTCTCTGCGGTTTTGCTCCTGCAAGCAGCTTCAGCTCTTGCAAACTATCTGCATTTTTCAAGGTAAAGTTAAGATCCCAGTGAAGGAACTTTGGCTGAATTCCTCTAAACTGCCGTTGTTGCCTGCTGTCTTAGGCCTCAAACAGCAATCTTTACTAACAAGAGTTCCTGGCTTTCCCAGCTATCTTTGCTGCTAAGGCCTGAACCTCAAATGCTTCCTTTGAAAAATCCTAGACTGTGTTTCGGGCCTAAACCTTCTTTCTGCTCCAGCATAGAGGCAAGCAGGCTACGTTCCTGTGCACTAACCTGAGATAGCACCACACATTACAGAGTGCATGGGTTGCTTGGGATTGCACTGTGGATTCCCACAGTGGTATGGAAGCCATTCAGATGTATACATGTAATTTGTACTTTTAAGCAGACCAGGCTTCCATCATACTGACCCTTTTTTCTGATTTGCTGAGGGAAACAGGGATGCTTATTCAGCGGCCTCTGTGTTTCTAACCAAACTGGTTTCACAGACTAGTAGGACAAAGAATCAAGTTGCCGGTTATTGTTTCCTGGTATTAAACCTACAGAACTGTTTTGTGGCTTCCCCATAATCTTCTTTCCTTGTGGCTGCACATTCCCACTTTAGCTTCTTTTCAAATTAACTTCCTTAATCTTAATAGATTTTCTTATGATGGGTTCCATGAAATAATGCTAGTACACTATAAACCACTGTTGAAATGCATTTCAGAGTTCTCTTAGTACTTTGGGTTTTTTTTTTAGCAAGGTAAATGTAAACTAACTTTATGTAAACTTACATGTAAACTAACATAAACTAACATCTACGAATGAAGAAGAAAGGAGAAGAGAAGGGAGTATGGTTAGTACAAAAGGGAGCCCGATGTAGAAGTTTCTCAGTAGCATTGCATCAGCCAAATTATTTTCCAATGTAGACAATCCTATATGTGCTCTTTGTACAACAAACAAAACTCTTCCAATCTCTTATTGTTTTGCTATGGATTACCTTTAATACAGTCTGAAAATTATGAGTGTACACATGTTTGTGTCTATATATGTATCCAGAAAAAACATTACTTGTAATTATTTTGTAGGGCACTTTGCGTTTGAAGGGGAAAGCGTGCTTCAGTGTGCGGGGAGTGCAAAAGTAGGACCCGCTGCCCACTCCTGACAGCAGCTACTTCTTTTCCCAGCATCACACAGCCCCCTTTCAGTGCCACAGCCCGTCCCAGGAAAAGGCTTGTTTGGTTCATGAAGGGACAGACTGTGAAGCACCTTTTACCCTTTGAACCTGAAGTGCTGCACAACCCTAATATTGTGTGTGAAATATTAGATTTTTTAATAGATTGATCTGTTTAAAGAATTGTTGTTTTGTTTATATTAGTTATTCTAAAAACGGAGTAGGATTGCCTTTTATGGGAAGCCTTGCAGAATGTAAGTGCATTTTTTCTAATTTGAATACTTATGTTTTCTATAGTATATCATGAAACACTGTTTAATATCTTTTTAATTACTGTATGTGTTATTTCAAGTGCGCGACTGTTCTGTACTTCCACATACTACCTGGGGCTGATAGAATCCCCCCAGCCAATGCACAGGGCAGGCTTTGTCCATTATGTCTAACAATACATAAGGTTGTTTCAAAGGATGTTAACAATGTAATCGTACGCTTGTCTATCCAAACATGAACTCTGCTGAATTGATTACTCTTAGAGTAAGTAGAAGATTAAAACCAAATAGTTAGACAAATTAAAATGCTTTACATCAGGCAACATATGTTTATAGCTGGAAAAGTGAGAGGTTGGGCAGCGTGTTATCACTTATTTGCATATTTGGGGAGCCCTCAGCCTCTTAAAAATATTGTTAACCACCAGAAGATTGCTTGCTCTGCTGTAAAAGTTGAAAGTGGCTTGCCACGTTTTTGTGGAAGTGGATGTAGGTACAGAAACATCCCTAACAAGATCAAAATTGATTTAAATATAGCAAGAGTGAGGGTGAACTTGTTGCATTGAAGGAGTTGCAGTGAGGGCACAGGCTTCCCCTAGAAACATTTTGCAGAATTAAGGCCCTACACAAGGGCTTTTTATGTAGTGGATATTCCTAGTGCCATTGTTAATGATTTAACTATGATACTTTTCTTGACCTTCCCCTTAGTGTGTGACATAATCTCTCAGATGCAGATGTTGTACCTGCTACTGAGTCTCTGCATGGGATGGACAATTGGCAGAATGAAGAAATCTCAGAGCAAACCCCTCCAGTGGGATTCCACCCCAACATCCACAGCCATTGCTATAACAGCTGTTGTGACACAGGTCTGTTGTGACTTTTTGTGTTTACTGCAGAATGGATTACTGGCTAATTCCAGAATGTTAATAAGATGTAATGCCGATAATGATGTTACCTGAATAGAACAGCCTAATGATTTTGGGGAAGATTGTTAATAGTAGGCGAGTTGAACGGGTGGAGTTTCTGCAGCTGATTTTAGTGTTAACTGGAAGATGTTGCAAAAGTACTCTTTCAGGCTGACAAGCATCCAAAAAAGAGCCAGTTTGGTGTAGTGGTTAAGGCACCAGGCTAGAAACTGGGAGACTGCGAGTTCCAGTCCTTCCTTAGGCACAAAGCCAGCTGAGTGACCTAGGGCCAGTCCCCCTCTCTCAGCCCTAGGAAGAAGAATGCAATGGCAAACTACTTCCAAAATCTTGCCAAGAAAACTGCAGAGACTTTGTCTAGGCAGTCCCCACGGGTCAAGACTGACTTGAAGCCCCCTCCCAAAAAAATAACTTCCAAAAAAGCATTAGTCCAGAATACTTCGTTGTACATTTTCCAAATCTGTATTGATTTTTTCACATTTAGTAATCATTTCGAGCCTTACTTTTTTCCAATCTGGGATGGTTATTGTTGTTATTTACTAATAACGTGGATCCATCATGCTTGTATTTTCTGAACAAAGTTTTCTTTAGCCATCATTTTTAATCTTGGTATATGGCTTCTTCTTCTGCAGAGCGTTCTGCTTATTTGGGAGCAGCTTGAGGATACCAATCACCATAGTTACCATTCACACCAAAGTTTAGCTGGTGGACTTCTCCTTGGCTTAAGAATTTGTCTAGCTGTGCTGTTAGGTTGCGGACTTTACCAAATTATCCGAATTGAGAGAAGTACTCTAAAAAGAGAATTCTATATTACTTTTACAAAGGTATGTACATTATATGAAAACCTGATGTATTCTTCTAGAAGCCCCATTGAAACTATTTTGAAGAAAATACAAAGAAGTATAATTATATTTATTCAGAAGTAAGTTGTATTGAGGGGGACGCGGTGGCGCAGCGGCTTAATGACA